TTCTACCATGCTTCAGGCTCAATTTCTATCCTCATTCCACTTACCATCTGAAAGATGAAGGTCACGGTCCCACAAACCCGCACAGCTTTATTGAATCGGAGCTCCAGGTACTAGGTAGGAGTATTAAAAAAAAAAAGGTATTCCTTCCCACTCCACCTCCCACAATTCACATACAATCCCACCCGGCTGACCTCACCCAGAAAGACTTGTAAACACATGATGTTCTCTGTCCGTCTTGTTAGGCACAGGAGGTCTGGGGGCCCAGATCTCTCATATGTGCTCTGTTTCTCCACCCTTGACCCTGCTGGTCTTATATGCTCCTCCCTTCCTCCCTGCTTACCTCATAGGCACTGGTGAGATGCAGGCGGTAGAAGATAGGGATGAAGACGTGTGCAGGGATCAGTAGCCCCAGGAAATAGGAGCAGCCCAGGAACCAATACTGGGTCCCAAATTGGTAGATCTCGGACGGCACACCCAGGATAGCCACGGCTGATTGGAAGGTGGCCATCAGGGACAGCGCCACAGGAAGGCAGCTCATTTTGCGGTCCGCCATCAGCAGCTGACCAATGGTATGCCGGCCCCAGCCACGACAGGCATGGTAGAGCCCAATGGCAAGGGAGAGAACCAGCAGCAAGACGAAGACCACATAGTCCAGGGGGGAGAAGGTGGATGTGACCACGCTTGTGTCTGAGGGTGGGGGGAGGGGAGAGGAGGTGCTCACCCCCACATTCATATCCTCACTGTGTCTGTGACCTGCAGCCACTTATTGCTTCTGGGCTTTGGGCTGCCACTCGGCTGTAGGTAAGTGGCTACAACCTGGCTCCCAGTCGCGGTCTCACAGTCCTCCTCCTCCAGCAAGTGACACTGTCCAGGGTTAGCTGCAAAGGAATCAGCCCCTAGTTAGGCCTATCCTGCCTTCAGCGCCACCCACCCTCCAGCCTGTGTGTCCCACATCCATCAAACTTGGACCAGCCAGCTCTGCGGCAGCCCCTGAAGATCTGGAGGAAGCAGCAGAGTGAGACAGCCAGGAGACAACTACTTGGCCAAGATCTTTCTGGGCGTACAGAGCTGTGAAATTTAAGAACTTTCTTAGGTCTCCACCCCAGTAACAAAAGAAAAATCAACTCTAGCCCATGTTTCTTCTTAGAAGACTTCCCTGCCCCTACTTGTAGGCACAGACCCAGTTACTACAATGTACTAAGCCAGCAGGGTCCAGCCTGGCGCCACAGCACAGCAGGGAAGAAGAAACAGAGACTAATGACAGCCTGGCTTCCTCTGCTCCCCCTGGCCTCAGTCCCTGCTTCCCACGATTCCCAGTGTCACCTCGCTAACAGTACCCCTTCTCAGCAATGGTCACCAGGAAGATCACCTCCACAGCAGCCCCAAACTCCATTCCAGGCAATCCCAGGTCAACCACGCCATGCCCCTTTCTTAACATTCTCTGCAACACCACTAGATAAGCCCTGACATCCACCTCTCAGCTCCTCTACCTGTAACACCACAGTCAATGGCAGGTCCAGGAAAAGCAATAGGATTTAAAAGTGAGAAGGCACATACTGGAGCCAGGGGTCCAGAGTTACAATTACAGAGGCGCTTTGAAGAGAAGCAAACCAGACAGGAAGAGTGGGCTTATCCCCCCAGGGCAGACACCCACCTAGAGAAGGGCTTATCCCTGTTTCGAGGCAGAGCTGCCTGGAGGAGCTGTGTATCTGGAGCTGGGCAAAGGCTGAGGGTCTGGCTCTGTAAGTGGCTGAGGTATGATGAGGAATTGGGGGCGGAGGGAGTGAAGCTCAGCAGCTATTTGCTCTGGCCCCTTCAGGGAACCAATCACTGTGGTCCAAATGGCCCTATCACCCTACAGCCCCCAAACTCCAGCTTAGCCCTACAGGCTCCAGAATGGGGAGCAGGGAGCTCACATTCAACAGCATTCCTCGATGGATTAGGCTTTCACTGTAAGTCACACTTGGCACTGTGTGCTAGAGGGAACTGGAAAGGAGGAGCTGAGAGAAGATGTGAAAGTTGCTTTTCTGACTCCTGCACAAGAAATGCTAATCCTCAAAGAACACACCATTATCCTCAGAACAAAAACCAGATCATAGTATTTCAAAACTTAAAAGAATCTTAAGAGATCTTTATTACAACCCCCTCATTTACTGACAAAGACACTGAGGCCCAGATAACTTTCTAAAATCAGAAAGCCAATTATCATCAGAGGCTAGATTAGAACCGAGGTCTAGCGATTCCCCATCCAACTGCTCTCCATTTACACCACACTGTCTTTAGAGTCTATTCCTTGGAGTACTTATTGGTATGGGGGAAAAAATACCAGAGAATGCCATGTATTTGGACAACCTAACATGATGACAGTTAACATTTTCTGAACACCTGCTACATAACCCAGCAGTGTGCTATGTACTTTATAAGCATTAGAAATAAGTAATGATGAAATAACCATAGCTATCACTTCCAAAACACCACGTCTCAGGTTATACACTTTACATGAACACTCTCTCATTCTCAAGAGTTACACAGCATGATACAAAACAAGAGAGAGAAACAGTGCTATCTGCAGGTATGACATGATTCACCAGGGGCCCATCCTCACTACTCTTAGAACCAGGGGAGGAGCAGAGTGTTAACTGTAGTCAGTCATTCACAGAACAAAGTTTAGATTCCAACCAATCTAGAGACATATTAATATAAGCTATGTCTTCTGTTCTTGCCCACTAGGAGAAAGATCAGCCTGGCTGTCTTCTGGCTCTCCACACTGTGTTCTTGGGCAGACGTTGCCTGGCTGGCAAGATACAGCCCTACACAGACCAAACCTCAACTCTGAGCCCCCTGGGGCCAATGAATAAAGGAAATCAGAGCTGGCAGCTCTTGGATCACCTGTTCTACAGAGTCAGAAATGTTAGTCCGCAGAGCAATGTTACCAACAGGCCACTCTGGTCTAACCTAAAGATGCCCTGGACCTTTGTACAATACAGTGCAACATTCTGAGTTTTCTCACTCCTCTTTGGCAAATTTTTACTGCTATGATAGAGGTGATGAGAACTACTGGAAAGTAAGAGAAGATGTCTGCTGTGTGCAAATAAGAACGTGTGGTAGTAAAGGGTTAGTGATATGTAGAGGCACGTGGTTGGAGAAAGGAAGAAAGGTCCCAGTTTAGACTGGAATGCAGACATACAGAAATGGAGACCCTCTTCTTCTGGGGTAAACTGGCAGGGTTTCTTGATAGAATTCTATTTGTATGAGGTGCAGAGAACCCTCCTGGATGGCTGAAGAAAGAGAGAGCCAGGCAAGACAGGAAAAACCTGACCCAGTAAAAAGTCTTCATCAGACATGACAGTGGCTTTCTAAAAACTCTACACTGATCTAAACCCTATGGATTTGCATCTCTCTGAGGGTGGGAGCCAAAAGTAAGAGCTGAGTTGTTTCACTAAAACTGTAATACACAGGGCACAAAGAGCCGGCTGCGAGACTCCTTTTAAAAAGTCTAACTCACACACAAGAAAGTAATAGAATCATTCTCCACCACCCTACTCATCATTTCGGTCACCTTGTAGGAGTCAAAGAATTACTTTGACTCTTATAAAAGGCAAAGGGGCCACTGCAGGACCAAACATCCCCAAAAGATTCCTTCAAAATCTGTCTTTGAGGGCCGGCCCCGTGGCTTAGCGGTTAAGTGCGTGCGCTCCGCTGCTGGCGGCCTGGGTTCGGATCCCAGGCGCGCACCCACACACCGCTTCTCTGGCCATGCTGAGGCTGCGTCCCACATACAGCAACTAGAAGGCTGTGCAACTATGACATACAACTATCTACTGGGGCTTTGGGGGAAAAAAATAAATAAATAAATAAATAAAATTAAAAAAAAAAATCTGTCTTTGTGTTTAGAATTCCTCAAGGTCTGAAAGGCTTTGGGGGCCCTTGTCAAAATACTAATAACTACTACTAACACCTTAGAAAATGTGCTAGCTAGGTAGCCGAAAGTGAATTCTTTCGGGAGATTCTAGATATCTGGGGGTGGCTAGAAGGGAAGGCTGGGCCGGCTACTCAAGATGAGCTTTGGTTAGTTTTGATGAGCTTTTGGCTGGTCCCAACCAAAGCCAACAGTGGCTCCCCCGGCACCCTTCGCTCAGGGCCCGGCCACCCTGGGATAGCGCTCGCCTTCCCCTCACCTCCGTGGCTCAGCCAGGGCTAAGAAGGTCTCGTCGTTCTTCCTGAGATCAGCACCGCTCCGATTTTCTGGGACAGCAAAGGACACCAGGAGTTAGGGAAGCATGAATCCCGCCCCCACCTCCTCGCCAGGACTCCGGGCGCCGCGTGGTCTCAGGGCGCCGCGCGGTCTCAGGACTGTGGCGAGGAGGGCAGGGTGCCCGGGGCGTCCCCAGCCTCGTCTCCTCCCGCCGGGCTTGCCCTTCGCCCTTCGCCCCCCGGTCACCCTTACCCTCTTGATTTCCTGGCTTCCCTCCTTCCCGCCACACGCGAGGCGGCGGGACCAACTACCACCTCGCCGCTTGCACCTCAGACCTTCCCGGGCCCCCACGTGGGATACAGACTCGCCCCGCCCTCCCCATCCTGACGCCGCTCTCCGGAGCTTCTCTGCATCAGCCCACACTCCCGTGGCCCGTTCCCGTCCGGCCCACTTGCCAGGTCTCCACACGTGGGTTGGGCCGCCGCCGGCCAAGAGTGGGCCCCGCCCCCTGCCCGCCCCCGCGCCGCCATGTTTACTGAGGGCGGACGGAGCGGGCTTGGCGCCTCGGCGCGAGAGAAGCGGGGCTGAAAGAGCGGCGCGGGGGGCGGGGGGGAGAACCTTTGCTGAAGCGAAAGACGGACAGGGATTCGGCTCAGTATCCCTAACCACGACTGGGGCGCACGGAGAAGAACGCTGACCTCCCGCAGCAACAGGAACCCCACGCCCGTCCCGGGCCATCCCCGGGGGAGGGCGTGACGCACCGGGGGGGGGGGGGGGGCAGGGGGGCGGAGCCACACGCAAATCTCGCGAGGAGCTGAGAAAGACGAAGGGAACCGAAAATGGCTCCTCGCGACCGGGGTAGTCCTTCAAGTCTGGTGAGCTGGGCTGCGGCCCTGCTCCTCGCTCTGGGCGTGGAAGGGGGTATGGCGCTACCCGAGGTACAGAAGCAAGTTTGAAGTCGGGCTGAAGCAGAGTTGCTGGCCCTCTGTGTGTCTCGTTCGCCCGCCCTTGGCTCTCCGCTCTCCCCTCTCCCCAGCCGGCCCGCAGCTCCATTTTCGTCCCTGAGGTCGCCCCTTCCGAAGCCGGGCAGGCTCCTGCTCCCGAGTACTCACGCTGCGCTCGCTGGTCTCCCAGCGCCCTCGCCCTGCCGCCCTGCCGACGTCCAAAGAGCTTTGAAATTTGATCTCGCTCCTTAATGTTTGAATAATTTTAAGTTGTTATTTCTACGGACGAGTGCACTGGCTCTTCTGAGAGCTCGCCACGCTGAAATGCCGTATGCCGTGCGGTGGCAGGACTGTACTTTCTGTAATGCTCGATGATGAGTTCTTTGTGTACCTGCAGTCCTATTACACCCGGCCAAATCGGGCCTGTCAGATTGAGAAATCACTGGAGAGGGCATAATAAATAATGTTCTAATAGTAAATTCTCAAAGAAGAGGGCCTTCCCTGGGCGACGTCTGGTACATAAACTCTCGGGTGCGCTGATTGGGCGCTTGGCTCTAGGGAAAGAAATGCATCTCCTAGTAAATCTCGTACAAAGGTAGGACACTTCCCTACCCTGCGTTAGGGGAATTGTGGCGAGTGTACCGGCAGTTAACTTTTGATCCCCGTTCTTTTCTTGGCTTTTCTTTCTGGTGTCCTAATAGTCTTTTTCTCTTCTACAGATATGCATCCAGTGTCCAGGGAGTGTGCAAAATTTGTCAGAAATGGCCCTTTATTGTAAGCAGACACCAGGGCTAGTGCTGCACGCGCGCTGCTGCCTGAATCAGAAGGGCACCATCCTGGGGTGAGGGAGGAGAAGACATCCCTGGATACTGGAAAAGAGTTCCCAAACCGGATTCCTCCAGGCTTGCCTGATTGGCTTTTGGGATAAATATTGGTTCCTATTTTGGAGGCATTTAAACTAGGATTCTCAAACTTTTAAATCTGTTACAGCATTTTTGGCTAGGTAAACAACCCTGTGGTTCTTCCTGGTTGAAACTGCATAAAAGTCATAATTTTTGCCTTTTTTTAAAGGCTTTTATGGCTTCGTTTAAAAAAACAAAAAAGCTTTGTTCTTTTGTTTATTATCAACTCTTTGGATTATTTACTGTGTGTCCATGAAATGACTCCCTTAGCCTCCAAGACACTATGCTAAAATGTTTTCTTCCCTTTCTGATTAATTCATGTTTGTCTTTGAAGCAAATTCCTCTTCCTATCCCTTTATGCAGGTTAGTCCCTGCAGTTTTCCCCTTTACATTCTTGTGAATCCACCTATTCTTAGGGCTTCAGCTGTAACCACCATGTGGGTATCGCCCAAAACTAGATCTCTTTTAGTATCCTTTGACTTCTCTCCAGGTTCCAGGTATGTGTGGGTACCTCTAGCTTCTTATTAACATTTCCCCTTAAGTGCAGCCTCACTTCAAACTCAAAATGTCATATGTCTTGCCTCCATTCTCCTCTTTCCCTAATCTACCTAAGTACTTCTTTATATTAAACTTCCTGAAAACCAATTTTTTTCTGTTATCACTATCTGACTTTAAAATTAGATTTATAACTGTTTCTTGCCCTCAGGATAAAGTTCAAACCATGAACTACCACAGACTGGTCCCAACTCACCTTTCCAACATTATTTCCAATTATTTGTCCACTCAAACCTTGCATGAAGATCTGGCTTCAGCCAGACTCATCTACCTCTCAAAGCATTCCACCTTTGTTTCTTTTTTCAGGCTTCTCTCTTTACCTGAAATTGCTTTCCTCCATCAAATTAGGAGATATACATCCTTTAATTCCAACATCCTTTGTGAATGGTCCTTACTACTAAATACCAGAGTAATATCTTTCTATTTTTTTACTTCCTCTAATCCTTAGTGTCTGTACCACTCAAATTTATATACTGTCCTGTGGGTTTTTTTATATATTATAATTTAATGTTTATATTGTTTTTATTTTTGGTCATGGTCTTGTTCCCCTACTACATTATAAACCACTTGAAAGCTAAGATAGTGAGGGTTTTTTTTTTCATTCTCCCAATTTTTGCAGTTAGTAGGTGCTCAGTAAATATTTGTAGAATAAAGGAACAGACAGCAGTAGATATAGAAGAAAAAATAATATGGCATGGTCCTTAATATCCAGTAGTTTACATCCAATTTGTGGTAGAAAATGCACTTGGAAAAAACTTTCATGTATATGAATTGAATTTTTTTTCCATTTAAAGGCCCTCTGTGGATCTGAAAATCATAATATGACAATGTGAGATTCACTGATCTAGATAAGAAACAAATTTTTTCCAATATATGCACAGATGGATAGGTATACTGATTAGAACAGTACTGTCCAATAGAACTTTCTGCCATGATGGAAATGTTCCATATCTCTACTCTCCAATACAGTAGCCACTAACCATATGTTACTGAACACTTGAAATGTGGCTAGTGCAAATGAGGGACTAAATTTTTTTGGTTTAATTTAAGTAGCTACATGTAGCTAGTGGGGACTGAATTGGACAGTGCAGGATTAAAACATCTATCACAGCACCTACTTTGTGGCCCTCTACACAGCTGTGTTCAATTGATAATAGCTGAAAAGCGGGTTGTATTAGCTTACCATGATGAAGAGGAGAGACACATAGTTAACAACGATTACTTTGTCTCCTCAGGCTGGATCTCCAGAACTGTTCTCTGAAGGACCCTGGTCCGCACTTTCCTCAGGCACATACTGCTATCATCATGTAAGTCATTAGTTATCCTTCCTCCCAAAAGGTGGCTGTGGCAAAGGGTTGATGGGAAAATCTTTGAGGATGGAGTCCTAAAAAAACGTTTGAATATTAATGTCTAAACTTGGACAACTCAGAATGAGAACTGGGTTACCAGTTCAGGAAGATGTGTGAATGGAAGTAGGGTGTTTTCCTAGAGCACAGTGCTAACAGTGTCTGCTTTGCAGAGACCTGCAAGCAAATCCCCTCAAGGATGACTTGGCCAGCACCTTCCGTGGCTTTACACAGCTCCACACTCTGTGAGTGAGGGTATGATGTGGGGGAGAGAACCAAAGAGGGGCAGTGCTGTGAGCTCAGCAACTTTGGGCTGCATATTATGACTGCCTATGTTGTGTTCAGGATACTGCCACAGGATGTCAGCTGTCCTGGAGGTATTAATGCTTGGGATACTGTCACCTTTTATACAAACAACCAAACCTGCCAAGGACAAAGAAACCTTTGCAACAGCACTGGGGACCCAGGTATGCTGTCTCACCTCCACCCTTCTGGGAACTGCCTTTCCTCCTTTGTATTCTCTAGATCAGAAAGACAGTAAAGTTGCTTAAGTGCCTGTTGTTCAGGTTTCTGAGGTTCTAACCCCTTGGAAAGAAAAGGTCTTATAATTTATATCTTTTATTATTGTTGTTGTTATGTTCCAATTATCTGTGATCTTCTTTCCTCTACCTTTGACCTAGAAATAATTGAGAGAAGCTAAGTCAAAACAGATATTTGAGAAATGTACCTAATGAGATCCAATGGTGTTCTCTGTTTTTCTCTGGCTCCCAGAAATGTGTCCTGAGAATGGATCTTGTGTGTCTGATGGTCCAGGTCTTTTGCAGTGTGTTTGTGCTGATGGCTTCCATGGTTACAAGTGTATGCGCCAGGTGAGAAATTAAACCTTCTAATTAAGAATAAGAGAAATGCATAGAGCAAGAACCTCTCTGAAAGAGCCAGAAGACCAGGAGCTGATACAAACCACCCAGAGAAAGAAACTGTAAGAGAATTGCCCTGGATGATAGGTATACTAGGAAAGAATTGAGTGTTAGGATGTAGCCGTTGGTGTAACGCTGCATCAGATTTTTTTTGTCTTTTTCACAGGGCTCGTTCTCCTTGCTTATGTTCTTTGGGATTCTGGGATCCACCACGTTATCCATCTCCATCCTGCTTTGGGGGACCCAACGCCGAAAAGCCAAGGCATCATGAACCACATAGATGTTCCTACTGACCTAAAGATCGTCCTGATCTATCTTAGCCCAGCCAGGGAGATGCCTCCTAGACGGGCATTGTCGGCCAGCGAATCCTCCTCAAGGCTGAGGCCGTCGTTGGAAGAAAGATGGAAAACAGCACAACGCTGGTGTGCCATACATACTCCGGTCCAGGAGTGGACTAGTACCAGTTCCCATTTGTGCTGTTGACTGTAATAAAAACGTTTTTTTCTTTCTTTCTTTTTAGGGAAAGGCGCCCTGGCTTTGTGTGTTTCTTGGTTGGGGTGGGAGAGCCCGCCTTGGGGAAGTCAGCAGTCTTTTTCAGGTTTCCCCTGGCTTTGCAGGCGCGAGATGGGCCGCCTCTAACCCGGTTGCCGCCCTGGCCCCGCCCCTTACGTTCCCGGCCCCGCCCCTCACGCTGCCGGCTTCCCGCGCCGCCGCAGTCTGCCGCGCCCAGACTGCAGCTCATGCGCTTTCCACGCAGCTCTCTCTCAGGCCGCCAACGCTGTTAGCCACGTGGACCGACTGCGGGCGCGCCGTCCTCACGTGGCTGCGGCATCGGCTGGAGCTTGCTGCGCTTCCCGCGTTTCTGCGCTCTCCCGCCTCTGAGCTCCGTTCCTATGGCGGCCCTGGTGTTGGAGGACGGGTCGATCCTGCGGGGCCAGCCCTTTGGGGCCGCTGTGTCGACTGCCGGGGAAGTGGGTAAGCAAGCCCGGGCCGGCTGCCGACCTCATCCCACTCTCTGCTGCCGCTCTCTGCCCATCCTGCCCTGCCTAGACTCCGCCATTTTCCCGCCTGCACACCTCCTCCCCGCTTTCGGTGCCCATGTCCCCAGCCCAGCCCCTTTCATCCCTCACGGTCAAGACAGCCTCCACTGGGGCATTCTCATCGCGCGGGGCCGTGTTCTGAAGGGTGCCCTGCCTGAGCCCAGCCCTGCCTCTTTCTTGCAGTGTTTCAGACTGGCATGGTCGGCTACCCCGAGGCCCTCACTGACCCTTCCTACAAAGCACAGATCTTAGTGCTGACATATCCTTTGGTCGGCAACTATGGCATCCCCCCCGATGAAGTGGATGAGTTCGGTCTCAGCAAGGTAGCCATACCCAGTGCTTTCTCTACATTTCCTTTTCAGATCAGTAGTTAGTGATGACATTGACATACTGCTAGGCATCCTGGAGAGAACAGAGGTACATGCTGAAGTGATAAGTACTGCGCAGGACTTGTTAAGTATCTTCAGAGGCACAGAGTGCTGGAGGTCAAGCCAGTCTGGGCTTGGGTAAGGAACCAGTGAAGATTTTTTAGCAGCAGAGTCTTGTGATAGGAGCAATGCTTTAAAATTATATAGATTAGTGGGAAAGAGACTGGAAACTAGGGTCACACTCTTCCCAGTGACAGTAGGTCTCTACCAAACCAATGAAATTGATTGTCATCTTCTAAGCTTACTTTCTTTACCTTGCCTCATTTTCTACCGCTTTCCAGTAGAGTTTTTTTTTAACAGTTTTATTTATTTATTTATTTATTTTTAAAGATTTTATTGATTTATTTTTCCCCCCCAAAGCCCCAGTAGATAGTTCTATGTCATAGCTGCACAACCTTCCAGCCGCTGTATGTGGGACGCGGCCTCAGCATGGCCGGAGAAGCGGTGAGTAGGCGCGCCCCCGGGATCCGAACCTGGGCCGCCAGCAGCGGAGCACGCGCACTTAACCGCTAAGCCACGGGGCTGGCCTTATTTATTTATTTTTGTGAGGAAGATCAGCCCTGAGCTAATATTCATGCTAATCCTCCTCTTTTTGCTGAGGAAGACCGGCTCTGAGCTAATACCTATTGCCAATCCTCCTCTTTTTTTTCCCCAAAGCCCCAGTAGATAGTTGTATGTCATAGTTGCACATCCTTCTAGTTCCTATATGTGGGACATGGCCTCAGCATGACCAGAGAAGCGGTGCATCAGTGCGCGCCCGGGATCCGAACCGGGCTGCCGGTAGCGGAGCGCGAGCGCTTAACTGCTAAGCCACCCGCCGGCCCTCCAGTAGAGTTTTTATCTCTAGATAAGAAAAAAGTCAGTTTCCTCCCACAGTGAAGTTTCCCCCATTCCTCCTCTGGAATTTGGAAACTAAGTTGCCCTCTGAGAGTTCAAGTAATAAAAAAAATCGACACAAGTTAATAGTGGAAGTCACCATAGCCTAGGTGAAGTATTCCTCAAAATTCATTTTGTCCTGATTCCAGGCTTACTGAGCCTTTAATTATTAATTTGCCTTCCCAATCACCCTGACACTTGGGGGAGGGAGCTCTAGGTAAAGGACTCATTTTTTATTCCTGGAAGGGACCATCCCTCATCACAAACCTATAACTATACTACATTCTAGTTTATGATGCAGTATCTTGGTTAACATATGTCAGTCTTCAGCTTTGTCTGCTGCAGACACACTGACAAAATTGAGTTTATAAACCTGCATAATCGAAGCCTTGACAGAACTAGGGTGAGTAAGGGATCCTGGAGCCACCAATCCACCACAGATGTTTTTGTGGCACATATGCTGTAAATGCACTTGTCTATGGGCAGACTAGTCCACCTGGCCATGGAGGGTTCTGCCAAACTGTCCTTCAGATCCCTAAAGAACAGTCTCAACATCCATCTTCCTTTAAACCTTTTACCACTAAGCAGATGTAGTTTAAATATGCCACGCCCTCCCACATAGATGACCTGTTTCTCTATTTACTTATTAAATGCTTACCTATTGGGTAACAAATTTGTGTTATCTTTTTTTTTAATGATAATGCCCTGTGAAGCGGGGAGGTATAATAATGCCTAATATTGTACCCTGAACCTTTATTTTTATTTAGTAAGATATTGTGCACCGACTTATCTTTTTTTTTGTGAGGACATCAGCCCTGTGCTAACATCTGCCAATCCTCCTCTTTTTTTTGCTGAGGAAGACTGGCCCTGGGCTAACATCCGTGCCCATCTTCCTCCACTTTATATGGGATGCCGCCACAGCATGGCTTGCCTGCCAAGCAGTGCGTCGGTGCACACCCGGGATCCAAACCGGCGAACCCCAGGCCGCCGCAGTGGAGTGCGCGCACTTAACCACTCGTGCCACCGGGCCGGCCCCCTATACCAACCTATCTTATACCCTGTTTTTGTCACGCTCTGTAATTATGATCTTGTTTATTTACATGTTACCTTATTAATTTTCAGGCTCCCTAAGTAGCAGATTAACATCAGGAAGGCAGGGACCTTGTCTTTTTTCATGCTCACTGCTCCTCCTCTAGCATCTGTTACAATGCCTGGTACCAAGTGGGCACTCAGTAAATATCTGTTGACTGCTACCATGTGTCAGGCATCTAGCTCTTGAGGCGTTCACAGTTCTGTGAGGAAGACACACAGATACATTCATAATACAATGTAAATAGCAAGAACAGTGGAAATAAAGTGAGCTTAGGTGAGCTCTAAGGCGGAGGCACAAGCTGCAGTAAGTGAGTGGGGTGACTTCACAGAAGAGGGGATTTGTGATCTCAGTTTTGGATCAAAGGAAAGAAAGGGAAAAGGAAAATGTCATTTTCAATTATTAATCAGGCACCCTATGCCCATGTGTTCAGTGTTTCATCTAGGGAACAGCATTGTTGGTAAAGGGCAAAAAGCATGAGGTACTTGGTGTGTTAAAAGAATGACAGGTCATTCAGTGTGGCTGACGTATGGGGTCTGTGCCATACAATGGGAAGAGATGACATAGGCAGGTATGCGGCCCTGGGCTCCTCATGATCTCCTCCTTCCATCAACAGTGGTTTGAATCCTCGGGGATCCATGTGGCAGGATTGGTGGTGGGAGAGTGCTGCCCCACACCCAGCCACTGGAGTGCCGCCTGCACCCTGCATGAGTGGCTGCAACAGCATGGCATACCAGGCCTGCAAGGTATGGTGCAAGCATAGGTGTGTCTGGGCAGAGCACCGATGCCTGGATGGAAAGAAGCAAGAGAAGATCTCTGTGCACTATTAGGACTTGAATCCAAGATTGTAATAGAATGTATCTGATTTGGAAGGTTTAGATTGGAGTCAGAGGGTGGGGGAGGGAACTGAGCTCTCACTCAGATGGAAAATTTCAAGCATACAAAAGGAGAGAATAGTATAATGAACCCCCAGCTTCTATAATCATCAACTCAGGGCTGAACTTATTTCATCACCACTACTATAATCCCCAGATTAATTTGAAGCAAATCTCAGACGTTGTATCATTTCATCCACAAATAGTTCAATATCTATGAAAAGGGAATCTTTTTTAAACCATGACCACAATAACATCATACCTTTAAAAAATTAACAATAACTGGGGCTGGCCTGGTTGCATAATGGTTAGGCTCCCGCACTCTGCTTCAGTGGCCCCGGGGTTTGTGGGTTCGGATCCCGGGTGTGGACCTACACACTGCTCGTCAAGCCATGCTGTGGGGGCGTCCCATATACAAAATAGAGGAAGATTGGCACAGATGTTAGCTCAGTGACAATCTGTAGACAATTAAAGAGACAATTGATATGTCTCTTTAATCTATTGGCCTTGTAACCCACTTGACAAAAATAGGTCAGTTTTCCTTTCAAGTATCCCATAGTCTGCACTTTGTTAATTACATTCCTATAGTATCATTTACTATGTTCTTTTGTTCCTTGGTATTATTTTTTGTAAACAGAGAGATCTAGAGTCATGGTTCAACTCTGATGTGATATTTTCGGCAAGAATACTTCGTGGTAGTGTACTTCCTTCAGGATGGCCCAAAATTTTGATTCTCATAGAACAGCTGTGTGTGACTCAGGGCTCTGGAATGGAAGTGCTCCTAGAAGTCTAATCTGATGCATGACTGAGTTGGAGGAGTATGATCTCTCAGAGTGTACTATCTTGATAGGAGTGGACACTCGGGAGCTGACGAAGAAGTTACGAGAGCAAGGGTCTCTGCTGGGAAAGCTGGTCCAGGATGGGACAGATCCTTCAGCCCTGCCATTCTTGGACCCCAATGCCCGCCCCCTAGTGCCGGAGGTTTCCATTAAGGTACAGAGAGGTAGAGTGGGAGAGTGTTGCAAGCTATAGCACGGTAGTTACGTTCTGCCCATAACTGGGGTGAACACTTGAGAGAGAATCAGAAGAGGCCTCAAAGGTATGGGTTGGTGTGTGCATAGCTATACCCACTGATTACAGCTGCCAACCACTGCCCTTTATTCCTCAGGCTCCACGGGTATTCAATGCAGGCGGTACCC